TCTAATATTTCAGAAATAGTTTAAACTTATTTATTTAACCTCAAAGACAGGCTATTTCCCTCAAGACCCATGGCTCTGAAATAGTCAACGTTCTGTTTCCACAATGCCAAAATCGTTTTTGGAAGGCGAATGTTAGAGAGAAAAACTCAGACCTGGTGGGGCTGTGAAATACGTGCTGCAAAAAGTCTGCGCCTCGGGGGTGTCTTTAAAATGGCCACTATTGAAAAACCAATTTCCTTCATCCTGGAAAGGCTCATGAAATATTCCATACTGTAAAATCTTTGACCTACTCAGACTGCTCGCAAATGCCGGGCCTTTAAATTTCGGTCATATCCGTATGCTTGCGTTCTTTTGTCTCTTTCCCCAGCTACTCTACAATCACACAACATGCTGCAGATTTTTCACATAGGACAAAGAAAAGTTTCAGCTACTATTAGTTACCTCCAGGGGATCACGAAGAAATCATTTTGTCAATTTACAAGAAAAGAGGAAAGTTGACCACAGTTTAGTCCACCTACAAAGGGAGCCATCCCTAATAAATAAGAGTTCAAAGTTCTGCTGTCAGAAAAAATATCTCAAAGCTACCAGAATAAAGAACGTATACTCTTCTCAAGTGCAGGGTCCCCGTGCATAACGTAGTGAATTTCGGCAGGAAATGCTCTTCTTTCCAATTAACTGCACACTCTGTTCTTTCCGGCAATACGGCAATACGTTATCTACGGAGTCAAAGGACTATCCGTCAAGGACGCCATATCTACACTGTCTCTGAACCCAAGCTTAGTTCTCACCACTTCCAGAATGCTCTTGACTAGCTAATGAAGTACTTTGTCTTCTCTAGTGACGTGGTAATGAATTCACAGATTGGCACCATCCTTTCCCCGAGCAATTTCATTTCAAAATTTAGAAATCCCCTGTAGCATCCACCACCAACTCTATAACTAAAAGTCCTTCCCTAAGGCTTTAAGAATATGTTTTGGAGCCAGTAGGTCACGTAGTGGTTAAGGCGCTGGACTCCCACATAGCTGACCACAGTTTGAGTCCCAGATCTCGTGGCTTGACACTCAACACTGGGTGCATGTGTGTGGGTGCCCAAAATCCAGAGAATGGAGGAGAAGGGATTGCAGCATGGCCATCCCCCTGTGGGGGGAGGTGATTTCTCACTTTTTCTCTCTTTCTGTCTCTGTCTCTCTGGCAAGTGCATGTGCTCTATAGCAAAAATCTCTCGAAAGAGAAAAAGAAAAAGAAAGAAAGACTGGCTATATTTCTTCTGACATGGATGAGGATGATCAAGAAGTCCCCTTCTAGCATGCTCCTCTCTGATCACTCAGGTACCCTGGGCTTCTGTATGGCTCGGGTTTAGGCTGTTTTCTGTAACTCTGCCATCCTATCTCGTGAGAGCTGCACAGGTCACTGTTCGCTGTGGTCCTCCAGGGTCTCATTTACAGGTTAGAAAGTTCCACTGACAATGATTCCACATTTATCTCCAAACCAAAACCCTCCAGTGGCTCCTGAAAAATAAGGTTCAAAGTCAAGAGCTGACGAAAACCAACCAGAGACATGTATGTGCTGGAGCAAGACCGGCAGTGTGAACCACCGACTTCCACATGGAGGTAGGGAAAACTCCGGAACAACAGCTCAGAGCGGGAGGAGAGCTGCGGACCTTCCCCAGGCCCTTCCTAGCACATGGCTCTTCCGGTAACCTGTCAATCTAGCACCAGAACATAAGTGAACAAAGGGCTATTACCCGTTCCCTAAAAGCTATGGTTGGAGCCAGCAGGTGGCACAGTGGCTAAGGTGCTGGACTCCCACATGACCAACCACAGTTCGAGACCCAGACCTGGAGGCTTGAAACTCACGCTGAATGTGTGTGCATGCATGCCCAAAATCTTAACAGGAGAATAGAGGGGAAGGGATTATGGTATGGTCAACCCTTCTGGGGGGTGATTCCTCACTTTCCCTCTCACTGTTTCTCTCTAGGAAGCGCACACATCTTATAACAAAATTCTATCTCAAAAAAAAAAAAAGGCTATGGTTATAAACATTGCTTATTTGGAGGTCATGCATGATGACCTTCAAGTCGGGCCTACTGCTGTCACCACCAAAGCCTGGAGAGAGCCAGGCGTGGGCTGCTGGTGTCCAGTGTGACATCTCCCGCCTGTGGTGACCCCTCAGGGCTCTTTCCCCTCCTTCCTCAAGAGATCGACTCTTTCCTTTAATTTTTCTCAACTGCCCTCTTTGTTTCTGGGGAAAAGACTCTTTGCTCGCTTTCTGTCTCTCTGTCTGTCTCTGTCTGGCAAGTACATGCGCCCTATCACAAAAATCTCTCCAAAAAAAAAAAAAAGATGCATAACTTTAAAATGACGATGGTGCACCCAGATGCAGGTCTATTTAGGAAAGGAAAGAGCGCCCCGAAAGTCTGATTTTCAACTATTGTGGCAGTGAAAAATTTAGCAGTCGTTAAAAGTTGAGGCATTTCTTAATACAAGTCAGACCTACTTTTCGGAATCCTCTGCAGGTGTGGGGTTATAGAAACTTTAGACATCGCGGCTTGGCAACTGCAAAGCTCCGACCTGCTCTTCTCCCGGCCTAGGCTGGGGAATGCGGGCCCGTTCTGTAATGGTAGGTGTGTTTTGCCAGAAAACTCACAGATTTGTGGGTGGAGTCAACTGGGAGGCTGGAAAGATTTTTCAAAAATCTGTGAAAGCTGCATACCGCAGGGACTTCCAAGAGGTGAAAAATAATACCTTAGGGGTTAGCAAATTTCCACTGTATGTGGAGCCAAAGGTGCAGCTCTGGAAACATGACAAGAGACTGATGGTTACTGGAGAGGGGAAGGCTGACAGCTGGCTGGGCGTGTCCTCAGGTCACCGCGTCACTGAGTGCAGCAGTGAAGGTCCCTCCCGATCTTGGGCTAGTGGACCTATCATTCTGAATGGCTGCTCTATACACATCTCATTAGAACTTGGAAACTATGAAAAGGCGACAGACCAGAGAGACAAGTCCCTACGCAACCAGGGCATACAGAGAATCACCTTATAACGGTCACCCTCAACTCTGAGGCATTCGCAAGTCTAAGGAACTGATACAAAGCTATTCACCCAGCTTCCTTACCCCCACCCCTCAGGGCCCCTGTCGAATGTACTTGTTTGGAGCCAATAGCTGTCCACAGTTTGGGGATTCTGGGATAAGGTAGAGTTAAGAACCCATGGCTTAGGGCCAGCAAGTGGCATGGTGGCTAGGGCACTGGATGCCCACATGGCTGACCGTGGTTTGAGTCCTAGACCTAGCGACTTGCTTTCTTTCTCTCTTGTTCTCTTTCTCTGTCTCTCCTGATGAGCGTGCATGCTCTATAGCAAATTAAATAATAATAATGAATAAAGTTTCATGTCATTTCTAGTAAAGAAAACACACACCCATTAGAAGGGAATTTATTGTTAGTTTTAAACAAGTAGGAAGGAGCTACTGAGGCAGAGGCTGTTGATGCCCACCGTCCAGGACAGAGGCATGGCCAAGGGCCGGGG